CCTTATATTCATTTTCATAGTTCATTACATATAATCATTTAATGTGTGGTACTTAAATCCCTTCTAGAGTTGACAATGTACAGCAAATGAATGTAATCTATAGGAGACATTTGCTTGATTATTATATTTGAATATTGCACAAATGAAAAGATAAGGGAATTAGACATTTAACTGCCATATAAATTAATAGCATGGCATTAATGGTCCCGTTTTTATATTGGAGCAAAATCATTATAAAGTAATCATCACTAGAGGTGATAGTCAAACAGGGGCTTTATGCAAGCTCCACTACTGAGCAATTTGGATGATACAACAGAAAATCCAATATTGCTCCCAGCATCAACTACTCAACAAAGCAGGAAGCAATGTCTTCTCTTTGCTTTTCCCAATTAATCTTCGCCATAACAGGCAGTGCTCTTTGCCAGCCTTGGGCTCTGAATTTGATTTTTAAAATTTCAACAGTAATACTGAAATCACTAGGCATCAAGAAATTGTCTTCCTGTTCTGAATGCTCCATCATAATTTACATTACGTCTGTAACTGGTTAATGCCACTTACCTTGCAAGAGCTTTTCAGATTTATGAAGGCAGAAAAAATGGGTGGGGGGAGCAACACACAAATGAGATCTAGAAAAGCACACGGTAACTGTGAAAACAGCCCATCCATCATCCCCACGTTTTGATTCAGAGACAAGAATGGAAGGTGCTGTTTCCACACCACTCACCCTGCACACACACAAAGGTTTGCTCCATCGAGAACACAACTGAAACTGATTGATTAGCTGCTAGAGAAAAATCGATACAAATATCCTAGAAAACACCAGCCTGTGAATTCAATCTGGCCCCAACAAAGTCCTGGTCACTGCTTGACATGTTTTTCTAGATATCTAAAAATGCAGCTACACGGAACCCAGCAATCTCAGCCCAGGGACCACAGCTAATCCCTATGATTTTATTAAAGAGAAAAAAAGTCCTGACTCAGCAGAGAGGAGACAGGGAGGACAATTTCCCAACACACAAATGTAGATCTGGCTCAAAACCGAAAACCACTGAGAAAGTAAAAAGAGTCAATGAAAACTGCCTAGAGAACTGAGATGAGTGAGAAAAAGGAAAGCAGCCAGGAAACCAACTAAACATGTACATGCTTTATGAACAAGAGAAGTGAAGGTTTCTAGTTAGGAGAGACAATCTTGACTTCAATGCTGCCCATTCAAATGTTAATACACACGCTTTTGGCAGGTGAATGCAGGAGCAGCACATTCAACACCCGAGGAGGCCATTTTATCTGGAATGATTTCCTAACTCGTTTCCTTTCTTTTCTGAGTGCTGCTTGGCCTTGACTTTGCACATTCACTATAGAGATAGATTAATTTTTTAAAAACATAAAAACATTTCATGAATACGCTACTAAGGAAGAAATTACATACTTATTGTATGTTCCATTACATGACAGGAAACCTGGCTTCTAATCCTAATCTACACAAGTTCAGTTTTTGTTTATTTTTTTTTAAATCATTTATATTACTGGCACACAGAAGTCACTAAATAAAAGTAGGAAAGGAAAGAAAGAAAACACCACCGAAACAGGGTGTGGTGACATAGATCTGTAATCCTAGCACTCTGTAGGATACATGTCCACAGAACAAGTTCAATGACCCAAACTGCAAGACCTTGTCTCAAAAGAACCAGAAAAGGAAGCTGAAAAAAAGGGAGGAAAAGGGGAAGAGAGGGGAGCGGGGAGGAGAGAGAGGACCATTTTAAGGACATGAAATTTATCTGTACTGATAAAGGAATTTACCGGTAGCACACTTAGACTTCATCTTTGAGTAATTCTTCACAGACCCATGTTTGTTATTCATAATGGAGTAAGCCTTCTAAATCATGGTAGAATGGTTGTAGCTCAAAGACACACAAGTTACTCAAGAATAAACAAAAGTCATAGAAATAAGAAAAATGTGACATTTCTTCAACTATGTTGCCTGTAAAATTATCTTTTGTGATTTAAAAATGCAGACTTTAGAATTCTATGAGACCCTTAAAAAAAAAAAAAAAAAGACCTTTGCAGAAACAAAGATAATGCTGCCTAATCAATGTGTTTACAGTATGAGCTTGCAAGCTGGTATTTCCTAGGATGGGATAAAATTTACATTTTTCAAAATTAGAAAATGAAAAATGATTGTCATATTACATAGCTCATCTATAGAGAATTTACTCCTAAAACATATTTTAAAGCAAAAATAAAGCCTGTGATTGGATGACAGTCATTTACGTCTGTTACAGATGTTACAATGTTTTACCCAGATTAGGATATCTACCTCATTCCCTTTCACACAGTCAGCAACTACATCTGTCTAGAAATCTCACAACAGATAATGCTAAAATGGCAGTGAGGAGAAACTCCAGCTAAGAGAGATCAGACAGCCTTTTCAGATCACCTGGTCAGAGCAGTGCTGCAAGCCCAAACTGCCTAGAGCAGCCCTCCTGCACACAGTGGGTCCCTAGCAAAGGTCTGAATGACCTCAATGCTACAGCAATAAGGCCACATGCCAGTCAAGTGAGTCAGCAATCTAAGACCCAGGGTCTCAGGTTCAACTCTAAGGTATAGATAACAAGACAACAAGTTTCAAGCCTACATTGTTAACATCCAGTTCAGAATGAAAATAATACACAAATAACTAATGACAATAATGACAGGATCTTCCAGAACTTTCTCCATAAGCAGCCACTAAAGGTTGCAAATCTGGGATAAGTTGAGTCATTCATTGTCACTAGCCCAGCTCGGCACAGCTGACACTACCAACTAACCACAGAAGAAACTGCCTCGTGCTGCTGCTCAGAAGAGAAATTAGACTGCTGAGCTGGAAGCAATTACAAAAGTTCCCTAACCAGTTTATAAAAGCCATGTTTCCTTTTTCATAAATTATATATGAGACATGAGTGGGCCCACATAAAGTCATGATGCAATCCCACCAAAAGTAAGGATCAATTATGAAAGAATGAAGACAATTCTTCACTTCCTAAACAGTCATTTTGTAGTTTCATATTTTTCATTTTTTTTTTTGTGAAATGAGGTAGGTTTTTAAAAGTCTATGGAATTTTATAATGTTGAGGAACTGTAACTTCTAATTAACAGTGGTTTGTTGCAGAATATTTAACTAAGCAAGATGAGTTGCATTTATCTAATTATGTAAAAATGTATTGCATTTGTTTATATTGTGGATTATTTGATTAACTACGTAAAGATATGTTGCATTTTTTAATTATGTAAAGATGTGTTGCTGTTTTACTTTGCCTGCTTAAGCCACCTGATTGGTATAATAAAAAGCTGAACGGCCAATAGCAAGAGAGGAAGTATATTCAGAACTTCCAGGAAGGGAGAGTAAGTAGCAGGAGGAATTTAGACTGCAGGGAAAGACAGAGGAAGACACCTGGGGCCAGCCAGCCAGGTACAGAGGCAGCAGGAAAGTAGGACATACAGAATGAAAGAAAGGGAAAAGGGCCCCAAGGCAAAATGTAGGTGAATAGAAACTGGTTAAGTTAAAAAAGCTAGTGGAACAAGCCTAAGCTAAGGCTGAGCATTCATAATTAATAATAAATCTCCATGTCTTTATTTGGGGGCTGGTTGGCAACCCAAAGAAAATTCCAACTACAGTGGTTGGTATATAGATCAGACACACTTAATATCCCCATTATCAGAGAGACACATGGAAAGGCGAGTACCAGTCAAAAGTGCCAGCCAAGACGACCAGGTGCATAGAGAAGGTTTCTATCCAAACTTGTGCCCCTTCTTAAAATACTTGCAGGAATCTTACTGCAGAAAAGACAATCTCCCAGGTTTTCCCAGAACACACACACACACACAAAAACTAACACTAAAAACAGAATGTTACAAAAACCCAATAAGCTCCCTTTGTTTCTTATCAGCACCTGTTGAAGGTGAACAAGGAAAAGGAGTAAGTTAAAAATAAATGGTTAAAAACTTGGTTTTTATGACAGTACATGAGCCAAGGGTATGTTTTTCTCTATTACATGAAACATTCCAAATTCATGTTGATAAAGCTTTAAATCGACTGAATAAGGCAATGTGTCTGGAATGCAAACACTGTGACATCGGGGTTGGAGTACAGAACGCAGTTTTCCAGGTTACTTGCTAATAGGAAAAGAGCATTGCCAGTAACCATTAACCCACAAGAGGAGGAGACAATAGACGACCCACATGTTGGATGTAAAAACACACCACTGTTCTATAGACAGACTAAAAACAAAGACAAAAGAGGAAGTTCATGGATTAGGCAGTTATGTGTGAAAACAACTGTGACTCATGTTAAAGATAAGCCGTGCTATTTGCTGAGGGCAGGAGGCAGTGATTCAGAGGGCAGTACAGCAGAGGCAGCCTGTTCCTCTCACAACTCTCCCTAGTACACTACTCCCTGGACCCACAGCTGTGGATTTCATTCACCCCACAAAAATCCTCAAAAATTTCAGAGCTATGTGGATGATTGATTGACTGACTGATTGAGTTCTCTCTTTCACTCATTCATCCCTTATTTTCCCTTTTCTGTAGCTAGAGATGGGTGATGCTGCAATGTGTTGTTCACCTGAGAGTGCTTAAACACAAAGGTCATACAGGACCACAATTAAAATAAATACAACTTGAACAATTAACCAGGTACTATCCTCTAATAGCTGAGCAGACACATTTAAGCTTCAGACAGCTAAAGAAACTGGAACCTTTCTAAAAGGAAGTATTGGTTAGAAGATGAATATGACTTTTTTTAAAATTTCTTTTTATGGTGTTTGTCCTGCATATATGTCTGTGTGAGGGTGTTGGATCCTCTGGAACTGGAATTAAAGACAGTCATGAGCTGCCATGTGGGTGGTGGAAATTGAATCCAGGTCCTCTGGAAGAGCAGCCAGTGCTCTCAACCGCTGAGCCATCTCTCCAGCTGAATATGATTTGTTAAGAAGACTGACTTCATAGATAATTCTAGAAACTCTTACCTTGAAAGGATTGCTTGGCTCTCTCTACAAGTTCATCAATGGGATAGCTGGCCAGGTTTCCTCTGGCGTGCTTAGTTTTGCAGTAGGTACAAGCATTGAGACACCTGTTCAAAGGGAAACAATAAATAAGGCTCAAAACCTTAAAGACGGGGCATACACAGACTGACAGGCAAAACAAACAGTACAGTGACATTTTAGTAACATTTGCTTAATTTATAGGAGATACAAAAATAATTATCTACATGACTCATATTTAACTTCCATGAGGAGCAGAGTTAATAATCCTTGTGACTTTTAACTGTGAGAGAATGATCACAGAAACCCACAGATTATCCTAAACACACAAATCTACAAGGAACAAAGTTTATAAATACTTTAAATGATTAAACACACGTTTCTATGAGAACCCAAGTTTATAAACTCCATGATTAATCAAAGGAAATTCAATACATAGCACTTTTTTTTTTGTAAACTACCAGTATTTTTTTTGGCCATCAAATAACTAGAAATTTTTTTTTTTTTTGGTTTTTCGAGACAGGGTTTCTCTGTGTAGCTTTGCGCCTTTCCTGGAACTCACTTGGTAGCCCAGGCTGGCCTCGAACTCACAGAGATCCGCCTGCCTCTGCCTCCCGAGTGCTGGGATTAAAGGCGTGTGCCACCAACGCCCGGCATAGAAATTTTTTAGTATTACTTATATGTAGCTTTTTAGGAATATTAGATTATTCACTGAACTTTTAACTAATGATTTAAAAATCAATGAATAGGCAACAGCATTTTTAGAAAACTAAAGACTTTCAGAAAATTTCAGATTATTTTTCACTCTAAGAGGAAAATATTAAGATGCTCCTGTGCATTCTGGGAGTTCCATTAGCCAGAGAAAACAAAGAGGATGACAACAGTAGCTGTGGGAAATGTAAACTGAGTCATGTCCGAGGAGTTTCAGCCACAGGTTAAAAAGTTACTGGTCCACACTAGAATATTGATTCTTTTAGTTTTGAAATACAATTTAAATAAAGGAATTACCAAATAAAAGAGACAATTTTTAATACACAAAAAGGTGAAGTCTAGAAACACTGAACAAAACAGAAGTTGTCTAACCTCAGTGGTTCAGTATCCACTATAAAGAACAAGGCTCTCAAAAGACCACTATTACACAAATGCTTTAAATTTCCACATTGTAAAAAATAGAATTTGATAAATGAATGTTACCAGCATTTTACTGGTATGTAACTGTGAGATAGATATGAATCACTCTCCTTAGTAGTCAAACCAACAATGCTTAATGTCTGGCAGTTTTACATATAACTCTAGGGAACAGTACCAAGTACACTTGGAATTGTGTTTTACTATTTAAACAACCACTATCATTAACTTTCAACACTGTTTCTCCCAAGCAACTTATATTTAATTTAAAAAATTGAGTGCCTTCTATAATTTTGGAATGATGCTTGGCTGTGCTGTCCACAGAGCATAACCCTTCTGTTTCCTCCTGACAAAGGAGAAATCTGTTAGATTAGGCACACTGGATCTCCTTTAGCCTTGTCTATGCAGAATAGACATATTCTACCTCAAAAAGTCACACAAGTGAGTAGCCCAAAGTCACAGAACAGCTTGGGTTCAAGTCCAGGCCTGCCAGACATCAACTCTGTGGTTCTTCCCTGTGAACATGCTCCTGGAATAAATGTGCATCAAACATCCTTGGGGTGGGGTGGCAGAGACTATGTTTAGCAGAAACGAGGCTCTGGGTTCCTTTTCCAGCATTCCAGTATCCAAAAAAAAAAAAAAAAAAAAACCACCCCAAAACAAAAACAGAAATCACCCTCGCTACATACAAAGAAAGAAAGAAGGTCCTCATCCAGCAGGAGCTAGGGTAGCACAGCATCATTTGAGAGCACTTACTCTCCTACATAAAACCACTTATTTAAAATATGTACTTCTCTGCTGTAGTTCTGAGGGCTCTGAAGTCAGGCTTCCTGTCTGGACTGGCCCAGGCTTGTCTTTGCATTCCTGCTATCGTCTGTTTTCTGCTTCTCATCTTCTTGCTGAGTCTATTGGCAAAATGTGTCACCTCATATGACTTGTTCTGTTTCGAATTCTGGAACTCTATTCCCAGTGCTGTGCTGGGTACACTGGAGGCCAGTGTGCTCTCTTCCTTTTCCTCGAGTGTTCCCAGGGCTCTGGGATTCCCCTGACTGTCATTCACTGAAATCAACACTGTTCAGGCAAGCTGCCACTTCACGCTCTAACGCTACTTCAGGGGCCCTGCTCCCCTCCTCTTTGTCCGTCCACATGAAAGGCACTGAAAAGCCCATGGACAATCTTGAGAAAAGCCACCAAGACTTATGATTAGGGTTGCTTCTTACGGGATACCTCTTCAGAGAACAGGGTCGGGAAGGGGAAATGGAAAGAAGAAAAGGGAAAGTACTGTTTGAAATAAAACACGGGTGAACTGATACAAGTAAACCACGTAGAAAAGTTTTTACTGCTGGTGAATTTGAAGCACCAGTCACTAGGTGTAAGTCAAACTCTATAGAAAAGATGTACTGAGGATGGCTTAGCTTCAAACCAGGAGTGGAAACCAAATGGCATTTTCCTACTGTCTTACTGAATAATGGTAGAAGCACAGCCTCTCCATGAAAAACTGCTTATGAAAATGTACTAAAAGTGGAAATAAGTGATATCCTAAAACATTTCTAATAGTCAGAAAAGCCAGGGAATAGAAATACTCCATTAGGAGTTCAAAATACTCTTCACTCAACTGCTCTTCCCCAAAGTATTGATGAGACATTTTGAGATTCTTAATTTTCATTGAATAAGATAGATTCATTCTCAGCTGTTGATCTAAAAAAAAGCTTATTATTGATAGTAACCTTAAACTTAACAATTCTAAAGTGCACATTTCTGTATCTAAGGTGCACACTTCTGTAAGCATGCCACAACAGGACCAACTCAGGCAGTAAGTCTTATGTCTAAATAATAGGACGGGTCTGTAATGGGGGGGGGGGGGGACAACACAGTGCCAAAGCAGAAAAGAATGAGCTTTTTAATGTTTCAAAACAACTTTTTTTGCAGTCACCAGGAACTGTGTTAACCAAGCATTTCAACACTTCAAACCTCCTTTAAAATAAGGGAATTCTTAATAGACAGTTTCAATTGTCCTTAAGCAATTAAACAATTGTCCAAGAGTAAGAACTCTGAGCCAGTTTCTTCAACTGTCAGAAAACAAAAGCTCTTTGAAGGCTCACCGCTAAAAGCCAAAACCAAACTGAGGTGGCCACTGAACTGCAAGAATGCAGGAAGCCCTCCACAGACCCTGGCTGTGGTGACAGAAGAGAAAGCCCAACACACCTACACATCTTGTGAGCTGGCCGTTGGCCAAAAAACACTAACAGGCTCCAGAGCAGGGAGAGATTAGATTGAACTCAGCAGTGTAACCCCAAAGCCTGAAAGAACATATGCAGTAGAATATTTTTAGACTATATAACCTAAACAAATGGGATAACAATGAAGGTTCAAAAATCATGATATCCCAAAAGACTGGAACACAGGATAATGTACTGACTCAATACCTGACCATATGAAGCAAATGAAAGCAAACCTTCATAGCACAGTCTTTTCAAAAACTTTAGATACTATAAGTTCTGAAATAATTTAGAAGCCATAGTCACACTCTAAAACATAGCCCATATTATTTGTTTTTAATGAAGAGGGGGCAGAGTGAGAAACCTAATAGGACTTAAGCTCCTGCTTCTCCTTGATTCTTGGTAGAGAATAAATTTGAATATGCAAAACCTATTTGAGAATAAAGCATTATGACTGAAGTATTAGTTACTGAAATAGGGCATTGCAGTCTCTCCATATACTTTAATCCTAACTTATTTTTAATCAGTTGGTAGAATATAAAAATTTCTTAGAAGCTTCAAGTGTGACAAAATAATAAGCTCTTAGAGAGCACTACGACTTGGAAAAGCCACACTGTTATCTAGCTGTGTTCTTCTGTACTGAGGTATCATCGTGCAAAAGAAAAAGAAAAATTCAAAAAACAAAATGTTCACAGGATACAGGTTGAGACAAACCTGGCTGTTAAACAGCACCTACTGTGCCTCCTCATCAGGATTTTAAAGGATTTTTCCAAAGAAAAAGGACCAATGCTGTGGAATGGTCTGTATGTCAAATGTGTTGCTGATTGGTCAATAAATAAATCACTGATTGGTCAGTGGCCAGGCAGGAAGTATAGGCGGGACAAGGAGGAGAAAAAACTGGGAAGTGGAAGGCTGAGAGAGGGAGACACTGCCAGCCGCCATGATGACAAGCCACATGTGAAGATGTCGGTAAGCCACGAGCCATGTGGCAAGGTATAGATTAATGGAAATGGATTAATTTAAGCTGTGAGAACAGTTAGCAAGAAGTCTGCCATGGCCATACAGTTTGTAACCAATATAAGTCTCTGTGTTTACTTGGTCGGGTCTGAGTGGCTGTGGGACTGGCGGGTGAGAGAGATTTGTCCTGACTGTGGGCCAGGCAGGAAAACTCTAGCTACAGACCAAGTGTTTGAACTATCAAGCAAATACAGGAGATGCTAGCAGCAGACTGATGAGGTCTTCAGGTAATAAAAAGATGCCTGTTTGCCAAGGCTGAAACCCTAAGCAAAGGAAAATGGAGCACCAGAAACAGAGCAGAAGTGAGGCTCCAGAATCAGGAAGGCTTCAGCTTTCTGAGAGCAAGACTCTCCCACTAGAGATACTGCCTTCCACCCTTGTCACTGACTCCTGCTCTCTCTAAAAGCCAAAGCTTCTGGGATAACTCAGTATCATCTTCCATTGTGCCCTTTCCGGACTTCCTTCTCCTATGTGTTAAAAATGACATTATACAGATTGCACCTCCATTTCCTTTACTCCATCCCAATTTGCTCCATTCTTTACTTCAAGAAGCTGAATTAATGGATTTTCATTTCCATGGATTTCATCTCCATTCCTTTTACCTGAAAGGATTATTCTTATGGACAGTACCCATCGATTCCCATAAAATTCAAGACCTTTAAAAATAATTTTGGCAGGAATGGCAGCTAATAACAGCAAGAGAAGATTGCTGCATGCTTGCCAGA